TTTCTCTTATGGATCAATTTCATAGCACAGATATTTGTCACTGGTACATATAAGGGGGAGTTTATCAAATAATAAAAGTCATATGTAACATTAATTGAGCAGTTACTATGTGCCAGACTGTGTGCTCAGTGCTTTCAATATTTAATGATTAGGAAGAGCCTAGGAAGTTGCTGCTATTGTGAAAAAAAACATCCATTTTGAAGATGAGAAAAGTGAGCTCAGAAAGCTGAACAACTTAAGGTCACGCAGCTTAACTAGTAGTAGATAGGATTTGATCCCCATGCCATTGACCATAAGGCTATACGATACAGATACTCCTAGTGAAGTGCCCAGGAATGTGTAACCAACCCCAATAAATACATTTTTTAGCAACACTACTACAGAATCTGTTAAAATACACATTTTTTGACACTACTCCACAAACCTGTCCTGGAAGAAGTGCAGCCAGAATGCTGCAGACTTCCTCTCACCTACTTTGGTCATGATGTCAGAAGGGACTATTCCCTTCAGAAGGATATCATGCTTGGTGAGGTGGAGGGTCAGCAAGAAAGGGAAGAGTCTCAACGAGACTGACCCAGTGGCTGCAACAATGGGCTAAGGCATTGTGAGGCTATCACAGGACTGGGCTGTGTTTCGTTGTTATACATAGGGTTGCTATGAGTCAGAGCTGACTCAGTGGCACCTGACAACAAACAACCCTTCTGAAAATGGAGAGAGCGATAGGGGGAAAAAGAAAGAAAAAGGAAAAATTACCTTAAGACTCTAGAACCAGCTCTCTCAAAGAGAAAAAAGTGTAGCTTGGATGACTGCAAGTAGCAGAGTTGACTAGAAAGGGAATCTAGGATTTACCCAGTTGCCAACAAGTTGATTCTAACTCATGGCTCCCTCATTAGTGTTCAAACAGAACTCTGCTTCATGGGGTTTTCAGTGGCTGATTTTTAGACCTTTCTTCCAAGACACCTCTGAATGGGCTCACACCTGCAACCTTTGGTTTATAGCCAAGTTTTACCATTTCCACCACCCAGGGACTCCATAGCAAATGACAGGAGAAAAGATGGGGCACAAAGAAATGGGAGTATAATGTAAAAAAAAATGAAATAAAAAAATGCATAAAGAGTGAAAAAGGAAGGAAGAAAGGTCTGGTAAATCCTTAGCATGGAATATAGAAAATTTTATAGTTATGGTTTAAATTAATTAATGTCATTTATCTAACTAACCCTTTCTATTTCTAATTTCATGGGCTATAATGACCCATTCAACTCAACCTTTGGAATTAATACTGTTTGTCTTGACAGTTTCTCTCCACCCTGAGTAATGCTAAATTACACTCTGAGGAGTTAGTGTCTCAATGAAAGGTGGGTGTGTTGTTTGGCTATTTTTTTTTCCTCTTGAAAGTTAATTAAGTCAACATTAACCATGGCTGTGCAACCACAGAATGGGCAGTTTGTTGAAGGCTCATGGTTTGGCTCTCTTCCTGTAAAAATTCCCACTTCTATAGTTATATTTAGTGTTCTAACTGCCTAAATAACTGGCTTGCTATGGCCCATGTGTCAGGGCAACACTGGGCCTGTGTGCAGCTGAATTTGTCTGATTCACTGGGGCCCCTGTGCCAAGCATATGTGGTTCTCAGTGGACAGCCTGTCGGGTTCAGCCTGTTTCTTCTCCAGAAATCTCTCAGGGGCTAGCGTTGTCAAGTTGATGCTATATGATCCTGCAATTCTCAAACACTGTTTACTTGATCTTTAAAAAATGTTTTAAACTTGTCTATACACTTAATTCTGAAAGTAATGTAGTATCATCAGTGTTTGTGGTATGGAATTACCCTAATGATTGCGTTTATATAGATGTGACTGAATGTTTTAAAAAAAAAAAAAAAAGTGCTACCCTTACACAAAAGCCAGTTTTTTAATGTCAGTACAGCTGTTTTAACTTTTAAGAAACCACAAACATTTTATGCTCTAAAACTTTAATTTTGAAGACAAGACTTTTAAAGAGATGCAGTGTTTCTGAAACTGGCATATAATACCTCCCTACTTCTGTTCTCCTTAAACTCTTAAGAGCTGAACAAATTTCTTTGGGTACAGATGTTACATGTAAACTTTTCAGACAACATTCCATGTTATTGCTGAATTCCTAGTAATCTCTGCAGTGCTAAATTATAATAGAAATAGTAATATTCATAATGGTAACAAAAAGTAGCAGTAGCTCAGTTCCCATGATCTCTCTCCAAACTTAGTTTATTTCTGTGGACACAGAGGAAGAGAGGCCAGAAGGAAGCAGTTGTATGTTTTCTTGGGTTCACTGTCATCCCAGCAAGTAATGGATGATGTTGTTTTGCTTCTTTTTTATGCTATAGCAACGATTCCACTTCTGTTCCATAGGAAAACCTATTCAGCTGTTAAAAGAGGTCACTAGATGTATTTATTACAACGTTAAGACCATTTTGTCCATGGAAATTATTTTTTATTGTTCTGAGTCACTCTGGTTCATGGAATTTTTACATGAGTTCCAGAACAAGGATGAGATGATATATTTATTTTACTTTGTATCCTCTTTAATGTTTTTTGACTGCATGAATGTCAGGCTTGTTGTTAAAGTATTTCCATATTTGCATTACTTTAGAAGTTACTCTGCTATATTTATGACTCCTAAACTCCTCATCCATCTGACATCAGCAATGATATCCCTTGTTGCATGTCCTCTTCTGAATCCAGTTTGAATTTCTGCCAGTTCACTGTCAATATACTGCTACAACCATTTTTGAATTATTTTCAGCATAATTTTGCTTGCATGTGATATTAATGATATTGCTCAATAATTTGTGCATTCCATTGGATCATCTTTCTTTGGAATAGGCACATACATGAATCTCTTCCAGTCAATTGGCCAGGTAGCTGTCTTTCAGTTTCTTAGCATAGAGAAATAAGTGCTTCCAGCATTGGATCTGTTTGTTGAAACATCTCACTTGGTATCTCATCAGTTCCTAGAACCTTGTTTTTTGCCAGTGCCTTCAGTGCAGCTTGGACATCTTCCTTCAGTAGCATCAGTTCTTGATCATGTGCTACCTCCTGAAATGGTGGAATGTCCAAGTCTTTTTGGTATGGGGATTCTGTGTATTCCTCCCATCCTGTTTTGATGTTACCTGCATCATTCAATTTTTTGCCTATAGAATCCTTTAATATTGACACTCAAGACTTGAAATTTTTCTTCAGTTCTTTCAGCTTGAGAAATGCTGAGCATGTTCTTCCCTTTAGGTTTTGTAACTCCAGGTCTTTGCACATTTCATTATAATACTTTGCCTTCTTGAGCCACCCTTTGAAATCTTCTGTTCAGCTCTTTTACATCATTACTTCCTTTTGCAGCTCAAACCTACCACTTCTCAGAAGGAAGGTTGGGTAATCTACTTCTGTAGTGATTTTGCCTCAGAAACCCAAGGAGGGGTCGCTGTGAGTTGGGATCGAGTTGACAGCAGTGAGTTTGTTTTTTCCTTTGTTACTCTATATTCAATAGCAAGGTTCAGAGGTATTTTCAATCACCTCATATACATGCAAATGCTATATGGTGAAATAAGGAACACTAAAGGAGAATTCTTGGACTTGAATTATGGTGTTGGTGAAAAATATTTAATATACTATGAACTTCTAGAAGGATGAAGAACTCTGTCTTGGAAGAAGTGCAGCCAGAATACTCCTTAGAAGTGAGAATGGCAAGAATTTGTCTCATGTACTTCAGACATGTTACCAGGAGGGAAGTGTCCCTGGTGAAGGACATCATGACTGGTAAAACAGAGGACCAGTGAAAAAAGAGGAAGACCCTCAATGAGCTGGATCGTCACAGTGGCTGCAACTATAGCAATTATTGTGAGGATGGCTCAGGACCAGGCATTACTTCATTCTGTTGTACATACGATCATATGGTACATATGGAATCAACTTGATTGCACCTAACAGTAAACTTCTCATTGACAATTGACTGTATGTACTCAGAATGCTGTATTTTGGCAGAACCACCTGCTTTTCCCAGTGGTCTGTGATTATGTGCTCTCGATATTCAAGAACCCTTGGTCATGTCTTCTTGATCTTTGTCTTCACCATGTAAAAGGTTATAAAGGCTTCAAATTTTTTAAAATTGTCTTGTTGATTGCTGGGAGGGCTTGAATTAAATTGTGACTATCGGTCATTTGTTATGACTTAATGGGGTTTTTTTTTTCCTTGTATTAGACTAAATCTCCCTAGAAATGTTCCTTGCTTCGGCCCAAGATATCTCTGTGCTTTAGACCATTCCCTGGAATCATAGAAAGTCCTTGAAATTCATCTTCATGTATTTTGTTTGTTTGATTGCAATTTCAATTACTGTATTTGTTAATCACTACTAGGGAACCAGGTTTAAAATACAGGTAATTATATTAAATGTTTGAATGTAAATTTTAAAAACAATTCCAATTTACAGAGATGCCTTGGCTGTTCTGACATTTTAGAAGATACTTGAGTATAAAACAGTGACTGTCTTATGGGTGAGATTTCAAGTTAGTAGTTATTGTCATTGATACTACTTCCATATATTGCCCTATGTCTGTATAATTCTGACTGACTAACTGGAGTAAGGTTTAAAATTTAATCATGTAGTTTCTGGCAAGGGTAGAGGGACTGGGTACTGTGCTTCCCATCTTTCTTGACTTATGTGTTCTAGCTAATCGCCCTCCAACAATGCCATAACTAGTCAGCCTCTGACAATGTCCTAGTCAGTCAGCCCCCAGGAGAAAAAGAGACTATAAATATTGACTTGACCTTAGACAAGATAAGGACGAAATAGACAATTTCTAACAGATAATTTCCTCTCTTACATGATAGACCCTGCACTATATACTACACATATTCCAGAAGGGTGGTCGTGTGCATGCACACAAGTAGAGAGGCATGGTTCAGTGTTCAGAAGTTTTGGATGGTTGATTTTCTTGTTTGAAATAGATTTGTTAATATGAATCTTTTTATTTTCAATAGGTTGACATGATGAAAGAAGCATTAGAAAAACTTCAGCTGAATATAGTAGAGATGAAAGATGAAAATGCAACTTTAGATGGTGGAGATGTCCTATTCACAGGTATTATTGTATTTGTTTTTTTCTATCTAAAAATACTTCTAATGTCTGGCTTATAATTCACTTGTTTCATTGTAGTTTTTTTTAAAAATTACAAATGTAATAGAGGCTGAATGTAGGGAATTTGGAAGATATAGAAAAGCCCACTTAAAGATAATCATATAAATATTTGGGGTTTTTAGCTTGCTTCCACCATGTTCTTCTACAAAATGAGTTTATGGATTGTAGTTTTTCTTTCCTTTTTTTTTTTAATTGTGCTTTGGGTGCAAATTTACAGAGCAGAATTTGTTTTACATTCAATAGTTTGTGTACATTTGCCATGCGATCCTCCGCCTGTACAACTATGAGACTAGAAGAACTAAATGGTGTCAACTTACCACTGTCAATCACTCGAAGGGGGATCTATATAGATCCTGGGTAGAATGGGAGAAGAATATGGAATAAAACTCAAAATTAAAAAAAAAAAAAAAGAAAAAGCAGGGGGAGACCAGGTTTGCTGGTCTGATAGAGCCTGATGGAACCACTGAGACTATGGCCCCTAGCTGCCCTTCAGATTTGGAATTAAACTGAATCCTGTGGTTCCAGCCAAACAAAAGACAGACATATGAGCTGAACATTTTACATTAGGTAGATACACTCCTTGGAGAGATCAATCATAGGATAATAGAAGGGCTGTGTATGACAGGGAGACAGCTCAGAGGGCAAGAATGCATGGCAGGGAAGGACATAGGGAGGAAGAGGTAACCATGGAGAGGAAGTGGGAGAGGAGCTGTTGCATTGTGGGAAATTGCAGTCAATGTCATGAGACAAAGTGTATGTGAGCTGCTGTATGGAAAGTGAATTTGCTCTGTAAACTTTCACCCAAATCACAATAAAAATTTAAAAGAAAAACAACAATTTGTGTACATTTGGTTTCACTCCCTGATTACAGTCCCCAACCCTAACGTACTCTCCTCCTCTGCCTTCCCTGTGACCCCCCAATCCATATGTCCTTCTTAGTTATGTACTCCTGTCTGTCTAGTTTTCCCTCCATGTAAATCCTGCCCCTCTGGTGTTCCATGGCCAATTGCTCCAGGGTGTGTATTTCTTTAGAGTAGGTGGGTGCATCACCCTGGGTTGGGTGTTCTGCATCTAAGTCTTTCTACTGTTGGGCTGAGAGCCAGTGCTTGGGAGTGAGTCTTGTCCCAGGCCTGAAGTATGTCCCAGGGCCATAGTCTTGGGGGTTCCACCAGACTCCAGCCAACCAGTAATTCTGGTCATTATTGTGCTTTTGGATTTTGTTCCATGTTTTTCCTCCCACTCTATCCAGGATCTCCAGTTTTGATCTCTTCCCAAGTGTTTGGCATTGGTAGCCAGGTACAATCTAGTTCTTCTGGTCTCAAGGGCCAACATATTCTAGGGCTGATTGTTTCCAAATGCCCTTGGTTTTCTTCACTGTTCTTCACGTCAGACAAGAGGAAACCATTAGCTGCATCTCAGATGGCCACTTGAAATCTTTTAAGACCTCAGTCGCTACTCACCAAAGTAGGTTGTAGAACAAGATTTTTATGTATTATGTTGTGCCAGTTGAGCCTGGTGTCCTCCAATACTATGGTCCTGAGTCGGCTGACCCAGTGGTTCTCTTTCCCAAGGTGTTTGGCTGGCTCTGAGGGATTACTCCAAGTCAGTCTTCTGTTGCTTCTGTAATGATTGTGGGTATTTTGTATCACTAGTATCTGTGCAAGGTTACCCTCAGCTAAAACTATCCTTGGTCTAGGGTATAATCCTGTCCACTGACTCTCATCTGATCTTCTCAGATGTTTATGTGTTTATCTGTAGCCTGGTGTTTGGTTTTAATGGTAGTGTAGTGTGTGGATATACTGGTATTAGCTCTGTTGTCTATATCTTATGTGCACAATTCGTTGTCCTCCTTTTCCTCAGTGTTATCATGCTGGTCATAGATTCTTTCCATGCCATCTCTCCCCTTTCCCAACTCAGTTTTGGCCCCCAACTAGTCCAAAATTTTCCCCACTCCTTCCCTCCCATGCCCAGTAACCTACAAAGTGAATTAATTCCCTTTCCTAAGCAAACCCTTCTTTGACTCTTCATAGTATGGGCTCATACAGTATTTGTCTTTCTGCGATTGACTTATTTCACTCAGCATAGTGTCCTCCAGATTCATCCACATTGTGAGATGGTTCACACATTCTTCATTGTTCTTTAATGTAGCATAGTTGGGCTATAGTTTTTCATTGTATGACTGTATATCTAGTTTGTATTTAAAGATTCTTTATTCAAGATTAGTATCATTTCAGAGTAGTTGAACCTGTGGGCTTGGGACCATAGTCGCAGGGGACATCAAGCTCAATTGGCATAACATACTATACAAAACATTGTTCCATCT